TCGCCTGCCCAGGCGGGTCTCGAACCCGCGGACTCAGGCAATTCACTCATCTCAGCCTCCCAAAGGCACGGGATTACAGGCTGAGCCACCGAGCCCAGCAGAGAACCTGCTTCTTAAACATCTTAAAATTCTACTCTAAACCTTGACCTTGTAATCCAACAGAGAATGAGCAGTCTGAAATACCAAAACAAGAACAAAACTGACGGGAAGCATAAACCGACACAGAACAAAACTGCCTAGTTCCAACGTAGTAACAACCAAAGTAATCAAGGTCCTAGAGGCCTGTACAGGGTCAGACCTCTTGGACTCTCCCCCCCAGACAACAGACATTCAACAACTTTACGTTAGAACCGGACACCACAATACTCCCAGGTTAAATTATTCTCTTCCACATTTGAAAGCCACTCCTGGCCCAGCACGGTCGCTCATGCCTGTCATCCCAGCACTTTGGGAGGCCGAGGCAGGAGGATTGCTCGAGTCCAGGAGGTCCGGACCAGCCTGGGCAACATAGTGAGACCTCGTCTTTATCCAAAAAAAAAAGAAAACTCAAAAAATTGGCAGAACGTAGTGCTGTACACCTGTAGTCTGCACACCTGTACTCGAGAGCTGCGGCGGGAGGATCGCTTGAGCCCAGGAGGTCCAGGCTGCGGTGAGCCACGATCCTGCCACTTGCACTCCAGTCTGGGCCACAGAATGAGACTCGGACTCAAAGAAATAAAAATGAAAATGAAAACCACTCCTGGCCGCGCGGTGGCTCTCGCCTGTCATCCCAGCACTTTGGGAAGGGGAGGCCAAGACAGGAGGAATGCCTGGGCCCAGGGCTTCGAGACCTGCCTGGGCAACTTGGCTAGACCTCAGCTCTACAATGGGTCAAAAAACTAGCCGGGTGTGGTGGCACACAGCTGTGGCTCCAGCGCCTGGGAGGCAGAGGCGAGAGGATGGCCTGAGCCCACGGGTTCGAGACCAGCCTGGGCAACCTTGCTAGACCTCGTCTCTACAATAAATCAAAAAATCAGCCGGGCGCGGGGGCGCGCGCCTGTGCTTCCAGCTACTCGGGAGGCTGAGGCGGGAGGATGGCCCGAGCCCAGCAGGTGGAGGCTGCGGTGGCCGCGAGCGTGCCGCTGCCCTCCAGCCTGGGCGACAGAGGGAGACTCCGACTCAAAAAAAGAAAGGAAAAAGAAACGCACACCGCCCCGTGCTGACAACCGGCGCATCCACCGGCCTGGACCTCCCCGCAGAGCCCCGCGCTGCCCCCGCGGCCCCC